CAAACATCTTTTGTTCGCTTTTTCTTAACGGAGTCAATTTACATAACGTTCGAACCTCATCGGTCGGCTAGTTTCGAATCGTAAATACTCATGAATAATGTTGGCGCAATTGAGAGGAACAGAGAGTACCTACGAATACCACGATACGATTATCCAATCGAGTACAAAGAAAGAAACGGAAAACCGTGAGAAACCGTGATCGGGAGCGAACGTTCAATAATTGACAATAGCTTTTCTTTTCCTTTTTTTCTATGCGGGTTGATTCACTCGGTAGGTTATAGTCGTTTATTCAAAAGCGATAGCTGCTTGTCCCGCGGCAAAATACGGTTGTCCGTGTATTTGTATACGGCGTGGAGAAAACGAAACAGATGCAGATAACTGTGATGTAATAATGGTGCCCGTATGGCAGATTATCGCGAAAAAGGAGGCTGTTCATCGCGACGACAGTAAACAACCGGAGCTGTTGATTCCGATCGATCGGTTTCTGCCTGGCCGTACGTCTTCGGCTCGAGTCGCTTGTATGCACTCGTGCCGCTCGACAATGCTGCTTCAATATTCACACTCGGCACTATCGTGCCGCCACTATTCTCGATTAAATGTTCCGCGGCCTCGGTATTAATCGCTCTCTGCCGACACTGTTAAATACGATCTTCGCAAACTGCTGTCGAAATATTCCTGTTGTACGAGCCGACATGCGTCAGCTGTTTTAACATTCCGATCTTTTCTTTCCTTCGAACCGTTCAACCTTTTATTTTTAGGATTCATGCAGTTAATCGATTTATTCAAATATTTTATGTATAATACACTATCTTAGATAGCATGTTTTCATGCATATGACCAGGAAGTGGCATACATTCATATGAAACGATCGTTGATTAAAATGTTCATAATATATACACATAGTTTGAATGGAATTTATGTAAATTACTGTTGTACAAAATATATTACATATTTTACATTACATTATATATTTTTTTTATATATTTCTTAATATATTTTTATATATTATATACTTTTTTTATTTTTCATTTGAAAAGAAATAAAGATTCAAAGGAATTGTATCCGTTATAATTATTTATTATTATATATTAATCCAAATTATAGGGCTACAACCTCTTTGACAGTAAATGTTGACGCGTACTGGAAATGCATTTAATAATGCATAATAAGACTCCAGTGTTTAAAATGAAATTATTGTTTCAATATTTGATCGGAGACCTTGCGGTTTTTTGGTGAACCATGTGTAACACTTTATTTTATTTCTAATATACATTGGCGACTTTTTATTGGATTTTCGAACCCCTAATGAAACACTCGTAAATATTGAAAGTACGTTTTTCTCATTTGACTTTCAGTACAATCCGACGTTGCAGCACCTGTCGATGGCTGGGAACGCGATTTCGGAAATGGTGCCGGGTTCGTTTCCGCCGTTGGTGAAGCATCTTCACGTCGGTCGTAACCACTTACAGAGCTTGAATCGGACTTTACGGTATGTCACTTATTGTTAGACCATGCACACTTGTAGACTTGTCAATATGAGTACAAGAGACGAAGTGAAACCAACATAACTGGAGAAAGAGTCCACACGTGACGTCACAAGATAATTCAAAACGATGGACTCTGCTTGAAGCATTTATATTATTCAGTTTTCGTATCATTAAGTCAACTTGAAGTGATACCACGTTGGTCATTGGCAGTAAACGTTTCCATTAAAATTTAATTAATATTTACAAATTATAAAAACACACTCTACGCTATTCAGAGTTACAAATGTGGGATAAAAATTAATAACTAATAAAGTAAAATATATATTTTGATAAGTTTTTAAGTCTGATGAGTTTTTCTTACAATTTTCCTTAAAACTTTCCTTTCGCGGCTTTCAAAGTAAACTTCCCCCACTATTTTTCCACGTGTGACGTCATGTGCATGCTTTTATCTTGACTTCAAGGTGGTTATCTGAAGCCGTGTCCACAAGTGTGTATACTCTAAGGTGTGCCTATTTCTTGACTACTGAAAATTTTTGTTTGTCCGCGAAGCGCTTAGAACGAATCGGACATCCTGTTTATCGGTCTGTCGATGGCTCTTATTTAATTGGCTCTATTCACCGTTGATGCAATGCAGTCATTCTTCGGATGACCGAATGATCAAGCGAACGCACACGCAGATTATATCCGGAGGATAGAACAATTAAACGATCTAGTCACGTGTCCACCGCTGAAAAGTGTACGTCCGAGCCGTTAGAAAGAAATAAAACGTGACGATCAAGGCCAGTTCACAAATACAACGAAGTTATCTGAACTGTCCAGCATTTTAGAATTTCAGAATTTTTTCTCCATTAACTGTCGTACATTTATCTATTATCGATTTATACTTCAGAAAATTAAATGAATCGGTATGCGACCCACTATCCTTCGGCGAACGCGAATATTTGTATACAAGAGAATCTGAACGAAACTGTGTTGTCATCTAATTAAGTAGATAATGAATTACTCATTGGTACATGTAATGTCATTGTTGAACACATAAATCTGAGATACGTAAATTTCTTATCTACACAAAGAGTTTCGCATGACTAACGAAAGATAAGAAATTGGCTGCTGATTTTTCTTTAAATGTACGCGAATGTATCAGTCTTAAAAATAACGTATTTTGTTTTGAATGAGTATAGACAATTAGTTCATGGAACAAATAATAAATAATTGAATAAATAACAAAGAGTCATTGATCTACGATTGAAAACTATAGAAACCAAGGAGTTAATATATCTTATTCGATCGTTTAATAATCGGCAAATACGTTTCATTCGAACCATTGAAAATTTACTTTTTTGTTTTTTGTGATACGGAAACATTAGCCAAGCCACGAAATATCCATATTACTTTCGCCAGTTTGAAGTTGCTTGGGAGGAAAGGGCGCGCGATCCACGTGATTCAATTTTGTTCCAGAGATTTGAATCAGCTGGAGTGGCTGCTAATTAACGCGAACGAACTGACATCCTTGGACGGTGAACTACCGTCCTCCGGTCATAACTTGAAGATGCTCTATGCGGTAGACAACAAACTGACTCATTTGCCAGCGGAATTTCGTTATCTGCATCGCTTGGAGACTCTGTTCCTTCAACACAATAAAATTCGCAGCTTGGACGGCACGTTGCAGAAGGCTCGACGATTGAAATTCCTCGAACTCTCGTATAACGACTTGCAAGAGGTAATACACTTTTTTAAAATATTTTTCAATACATTTCTTTTTAATTTAAAATGTTTACCAATATTTAAATTTACATTAATATTTAATTATTCGTATTCCATCTTCGTTCGTCTACTTCTTTTTCTTTTGTGTTAATGAAAAAATAAGTTTCATATATCGTGTTTCGGGTGAACCTTTGTAGACAACAATTAATTTGCACGGATTATTTGATTCGGGACGTCCTACTACAAAAAGTGATACACGATACACGATGGAAGCCTGATTTAGCTCACAGAATAATTTCATTATGTATAATAACGTTATATTATGTACAGTATTAACTTCATTATATTCCGTTTATGTAGTTTCCATTATATCTAACAGCAATAAATTTATCATTAAATTCATGTTAAATTTTATTCTATGTTATGCATATAATTTATACACGGATCGAGCGTTGAAAGCAATTTGAGGATGATACGTTGCGTGTTGATTCACAGGAAGATTTTTAATTTTCCAGAGATTATCTGCAATCTGACGTTCATACTAACAACCTCGTCAAAACATGCGTAAACTGCAAGTGCACGATCGCGGTGCATGATAACACGTGGAGGCGTTCGTTCAGTGTTACGTGCATTAAGTCAATTACTGCATCCTAACGTAATTATTATGTCGTGCGCTTCCGTCTTGCGGATTAAATTTTTATTGAAACGGACAACCAACGCTGGTCTTCACCGATAATCCATTTTATCTGACTTTTCTCGTATGATCCATTTCAAAGGCTTCACGTTTAGCCCTTTGAACTTTCAGGAAAACGAGAGTTTCAAAATTTTTACTAATTTCAAATTTGTTTTATACCCAAAGTTTCTGTTAAAATCGTTTTTAACGTTTCGAACATTTCGTCGTTCGTTTTCTACTTTCGAACTGTAATAACAGCACGACCCGATTCCTTCTAGTGCTAATAGTATTCTGATTCTTAAAAAATCTATTATTCCCAATAAAAGAATTCTACAATCCCAATTCGATGCTAGTCCCGTAAACATTTTTTATATCGTTAAACGTCTTCACGCTTCAATACTTCCAACCTATTGTTCTACGTTTCAGAAAATTGATTGTTTCTAAGAAATGGAAAAAAGAGAATATTGCATGATATCTTAGAGCTCGTCAGGGTATAGCCTAGAACATTTAGAAGATTCAAATTATAGAATTTTTCGAAGGAAATCTCGCACGGGAAGGTAATTTTTGCAAAAGATTGGAAATGTTGTCGGTGGGAAATGGAAGTTTTCCAATCCCTTTATCAAGAGAAATGTTTTCCGTCAGTTGACAGAGGAGGATTTCATAGAGGCGGAGTTGCTGGAAGATCTCGAGCTCGGGCACAACTCTTTAAAATCGTTGGGCGGTACGGTTGGCAGCAATGGCGATGGAAATGGGGGCAACAGTGTCCTTTACCCTCTCAGGTCGCTGAAGAGTTTAAACTTGACGCACAACGAGCTCCGCGAGTTCTCCTTTGCGTCGCTTCGTGGTTTGCGCGAGCTACGAATGCTCGATCTCTCGAACAATAGAATCGGACGGCTTCA